AAAACTGTAAAAATGTGACTTCTTCAGGCAATCATTACAATTTATATTAACCCAAATAGCTGAGTAATAATACTGCCTGGCTCGAGTGACAAATAAATCAGCTTTTCTGGCCTCAGAACTAAACTGCAGTCAGTTTCAGTGAAGTTAATTCCTCCCTCTAACGGGGCCAACGATAAGTCTGGCTTGTCTGCAAGTCCTAAAAAGCTGCAGATGTGACTCATCCAGCGTGCATCACCTTGGGCTTTGTTGTTTGTAAAATAGGCTTTGGCAGGTTTCTCCATGTCCTGCTCTGTAGTCATTTGAAAGCACGGGTTACCAAACCACTCAGTAGCTAAGAATTATTATTTTAGGTAAAAACTATGTTAAGTGGATTTATTCATACCATCTGGGTTCAGGATCACTTTGGTTAATGACAAGGGGTCACAATAAACTCTTGGTATCCTGCAGAAAATTCTATATCACAAAAAAAACAAAAAACAAAAAAAACCAAGGTAATTTAAAAACTAAAACCATGTACTGTGCTTTAATTGAACCTGTACAATTTAAAATAAAATATGTGTAGTGATGAACTTCTGATGGCCTTTTGATGTTATTTTTGTTAAACTGGCTATGTTCTTCTCTGAATGGGGGCCCAGTTTTAAATAGCCTGAAACAAAAAGTTGTCCTGAAATCTCAATTTAATCTAAAGCACACATTTTACACAATGACTTACCATATTGTTCGGCCTATAAGTCACAGTTTTTTTGCATAATTTACATGCCCTGCGACTTATAGGCCAAAGCGACGTATTTATGGATTTTTTTCCCATATTCAGAAACCAATTTTTGGCTGAGATTTGACCGTTTTCATTCATTCTGGCTGAAAAAAATAAAATACAATTTGAACAGTACCAATTTCAGCCACTTGATGGCAGCAGAGTAGTAGTAGCAGTGAGGCATGCTGTTGTATCATGTAATGGGTAAACATGGCTATAATGACAAATTCAAAATTGTTCAAGACAAAAACAACTGGACTTTATTTATTATACTTTACTTTATAAATTATTGTTTTTTTTTTCCTTGAACTTTTTTTAATTTACCATGTCCTGGCTAACTGAGAATCTTCACCAGCTATTAATGACAGAATCAGCTTGCCATATTCCCACTACCTTTGTTCTGCTCGCTGCTTGGAGCTCAGCTTCATTTTGAAGCACTGCCCTGGCGAAATGCAGCTAATTTGACCATTAAAGTGCATTTATTAGGAAAAGGTTAGACTGAGACACACATTTGATATAATTTCAAGCAAACAAATAATTGCTTAGGTGCTTTTCTTGTTAACTTTCAAAGAAACAAGCAGCGTTCCTCATTCCTGATTTCCTCCCTCTGCGCAATCCCAAAGCACAGAGGCTGCAAAACTATTTTTGAAATTCACCCGATTTGACCATAAAAGTGCATTTATTAAGGAATAGTGCAACTGAGACACACCTTTGCTATAATTTCAAGCAAATAAATAATCGTTTTTAGGTGTTTATCTTGTTAAAGTTGCACAGTGATTTGTTGCATGCATGCATTTACTTCCATGTGATATTATGAATAAATTAGCCTTTGATGATAAATTGTGGAAAATAACATAATATGGGTTGATGAATACAAGGCTGAATTATGAATTATGGAAAATAGATCATATAACGATGAGTAGAATATCTGTCAGATGTTTAAACTAGGCCATAAGTCGATAAATAATATATTTTTAGTGACTGCTAACTTTAAAATCAACCATGACACTTTCTGCTGTCAGTAGGACAATAGTTCCTTATAAGGCCTTTACTGAGAAACAAAACATCAGCCTCAAATGTTCTTGATCAATTAACCAAGATAAACTATAAAGTTAAATTATAGTTTACATAATTTGAGTGTGTGTGTGAATTATAAAATAATTAATAATGAGTCAAAAAGCAGCTTAATATGTCAGAACAACCCTATCTCTTAGTGTAGCAATCTAGAACGTGATAATGTACTAAGTTATCAATGAAATAAGACTTTCACAGTCTTTGTGAGATTATGTAGGTTGGTGCTTATAATGTGTCACGTACTCAGTGGAAAGAGATGGCAGCTAATGTGTGTCTGGTTGAGTGGACAGAAATTGAAAACAGGAAGTGTCACCGGGTGGAGAAACAGAGTTTATAAATGTGGGAACAGACCTGACACATGGCAGAACTGTACAGGGGCCCCTTAATGTATGTATATATATATATATATATATACAGTTTTCTCTTGTTCACGCATTTTGAAGTCTGTAAAAATAAAGATGTTGTTAATTCTGACATGAGCCTGTGTTCCTTCTGAGCAACAACCCGGGCAGGATGGAGGGGGAAGGAGTCTTGTTTTCCCTAACAGTATTGGGTTTTTAAATGCAGCTGATTTGACCATCAAAGTGCATTTATTAAGCAAACGTTAGACTGAGACACATACTTAACATAATTTCAAGCAAACAAACAATTGTTTTTAAGTGTTAATCTTGTTAAATTCTTGTTTAAGTCATCCCGTACTTCCTCCCGCGGCCGTCATTTGGCAGCCAGTCAATTTTTGTCACAACACCGGCCCACATTTCCGGGTTCGGCCCACATTTCCGGGTCGTCAGCGGTGATGCGTAACCAACGCATTGCGTCAGCGGTGACACATAATAGATGCGACGTATGCAGCGAAGTGACATATTTATGGATTTTTTTCCACTTTATAAGACAAATATGGACTGATGGGACTTATAGGGTGGTGCAACGTGTACGGCAGAAAATACTGTACTGTATGTAAAGAACTGCAAATATGGGTAATTTTCTATTAAAATGATAAAATGTATGTACATATACAATATGTGAAAATATAAACATTACTTGAATGAAAAATAAATATATATATTTATTCCTATAGACAGCATACAGTGTGCCACTGATTAGTGCCATTAATTTCACCCCCTCACCGTCACACAGAGGATCAAAAAGCAAACTTGCACAGTTGTTTCAAGTTTTTCATCACATTAAATACTTTGTAGATTTGGCTAATGTTTGACAAGAAGGAGGAATAGAATTTGGATCTGCTTTGAATGAAATTTGAATGTAGGTTTTGGAATTGCATTTTTCTTTGTAATAATCACCGAGATGCATTCTGCTGTAAAATGGTGTTATATGAAATGACTGAATTGCATCAAAAGAAACAGCTGTTTTTTTTTTTCCACAGCAACTGCTGCTGTTATGCCTCATGTTTCAAGTCAAATTGTTAATGTCAATGAAAATAATTCCAATGACATATATGAACTAAAGATGAAAAGCCATACAGCATATTTCATGGAACATTTTCTGTCTCCATAAGGAAGCTGAATGACTGACATGACTTTTGATTTATAGGTCAAAGCTTCTAGCTGGGTGGCAAACTGCAGTGGAGCCTTGGCAGACCCAGTAGTAACACGGTTTCCATCTATTGTTGTGGTCTGCTCACATTTGCATATTAATCCTTCTCTACCAGCACCTTTATGAAAGCACCTTTAAGGAGGCGCTGCCCCCGCAGCACTTCAAGGATGACGAATAAGCAGATGAGAAAGCAGAAAGCCGGAGGGTGATGGGATGTGAAATACAGATAGAGTTGAGGGTAGAAAAGTCAGACAAGTGCAAAGTCTTAGAAGTAAGAAGCAGAGCCAGAGCACTGGTGTTTTATTTCCACTCAAAAATACCACCAACACTCAGGCTTCCACATCTAGAAGATTGACTTGATGTTAATGCATGCAAAACATGCAGAGGACGGGACAAGGCCAGTTCTTTATCATTAAATTGTGGTCTAAAGGTGTTGCGCCTTCATGCTTTCATTTAGTAGAAGTAGCTGCTGGCAAGTCCTCTCAAGCTGACTAATCATTTGTGTATGCAGATATAATAAGCTTTCAATGTCTGAAAATACATATCATCCATCAAAGCATGATTGTAATGTCTTTGGGTTAGAAAAGGGCACTGGGAGTAGGTGTGGCATATCTTAGATCTAATAAATATACATTTCCCCAGGCAAGAGGAGGAGGCAGAGAGTTCTAAGGATTCATTTCCTACTCTGCCAACGTTGCAGATAAGGTTTTTACAGTGCACGCACACAGAAATCTACATTCTGTAACTAGTACTTAAAACTTCAAAAATGGATGTTGGTCTGCCATAATCTAACACTTTTCCAAATGGGAAAAGTATTTGTCTACTTTAGTAAGCAGAAAATCCACTGCTCTGCCCTCACCTTGTGAGTATAGATAGTTACAACTTATTACATTATGTGCTGAATGTGTCCTGTATGACAAAAAGCAAAACAGATCACCAACATAAATCAGAGGTGTCTCACTCAAAGTTGACCAACATGCTGAAAAAAAGTTGTTGATGTTTTTACCAATTTATTATTTAAGACCTTGGTCACAATTGTGGGCCTTTGTCCTCTTTTCACCAATGTAATTATACAGTTTGTTATGCATGGAGAACACAAAAAGTGTTCCTTTGTTCTGCTAATATATACTTGCACACATCAGGAGGTTTATTTGTATTCATTTTAAATTCAATTCAATTCAGTTTGTTTATGTAGCACCAGAGTACAACAGAAGTCATCTCAGGGCACTGAACAGAAACATTCATATACATATAAAGTCATTTTAATTACGTTATTTACCTAAGGAGCCAACAGACTGCTTTGAGTTGTCACTTCATCACAGTCTCCCATCCTGAGCAAGCACAGAGGCAACAGTGGAAAGGAAAAACTCCCTCATGTAGAAGAAACCAAAGCCAAAAGGCTTGGGAAAAAAAAAAAAAAGAATAAATATAATATACTGATGAAAAAAAAAAATCTCTAAAATGTTTACAGTTTGAATCCCTAGGTCATTCTAAACAATGTAATAATTTTGTCAGTTAAAAGTTATTTTAATTATGTGGTAAAAATTACATTACTATCTTATATTTTCTTAAATATTTGTTCAAGTTTCAACGTTTAACCCATAATAATATATTTTACCATCACAGAGATGTGCAGAATGCGGAGCTCTTCCTTCGTGGAGTTATTGGCCGGGTCTTCGGTTGGTTCCGGGACATTCAGGCTCCCATCCTGGTGGTGGATATGAAAAAGTAGTGTGCCGTTTTCTAGCCACTGCTGGCGCCAGCGCACAAGAGGGATGTCCTCTGAGTTCCCAGAGATCTCTGAAAAAAGCAAAAAAAAAAAAAGGCATCAGATGAGAAACTCACTAGTGTTTATATTCTTACCAGATTATCAGAAAAAAATTATGAAAATAAATTATGAAAATATACTCAAATTTGAGCAATTGAACAGTAAGTGCATGTAGCTTGATGATTAGATATTGTAGTTTATCACCATGATTGAAATTTCCATATTTGAAAACACCTTTTTATACCCTAATATACAGGTGTAAATAAATGTGAATATTACTGTATTTTTCGGCCTATAAGTCACAGCTTTTTGCATAATTTGCATGTCCTGCGACTTATAGGCTGAAGCAATATATTTATGGATTTTTTTCCATATTTATAAATCATTTTTTGGCTGAGATATGACAGTTTTCATTCACTCTGCCTGAAAAAAATAAAATAAAATTGAGCAGTACCAGTTTCAGCCACTTGTTGGAAGCATAGTAGTAGTAGCTGTATGACATACTGTTGTATCATGTAATAGGTAAACGTGGCTATAATGACAAATTCAAAAATGTTCAAGACAAAAACAACTGGACTTTGTCTATTATACTTTATACTTTTTTTTTCCTTGAACTTTTTGAATTTACCATGTCCTGCGTGACTGAGAATCTTCACCAGCTTTTAATGATATAATCGGCCTGCCATAGCCTCCCCACCTTCATTCTGCTCACTGCTTGGACCGACCGACCGTCCAACCAGCTGCACCGCCCCGGCGAAATGCAGCTAATTTGACCATTAAAGTGCATTTATTAAGCCAATGTTAGACTGAGACACACTTTTACTATAATTTCAAGCAAACAAATAATTGTTTTAGGTGCTTTTATTGTTAATTTTCAGAGAAAGGAGCCACGTTCCTCTCTCCTCACTTTTGTCTTCTTCTGTGCGTTCATGGAGCACCGCGTTAGCAAAACAATTTTTTGAAATACAGCTGATTTGACAATTAAAGTGCATTTATTAAGCAAATGTTAGACTGAGACACACCTTTGCTATAATTTTGAGCAAACAATTAATTGTTTTTAGGTGGTTATTTGGTTAAATTTGTACAGCGGCTTGTCGCGTGCACGCATTTACTTCCACGTATCGGCTTTTGAAATACAGCTGATTTGACCGTCAAAGTGCATTTATTAAGGATACGTTAGTCTGAGACACACATTTACTATAATTTCAAGCAAACGAATACTTGTTTTTAAGTGTTAATCTTGTTAAATTCTTGTTAAAGTTTTCCCGTGCATGCTCTTACGGCCTCCATTTGGCAGCTCATCGATTTTTGGCACAAAACTGGCCCATATTTCCAGGTTCGGCCGCATTTCCGGGTTGTCAGCGGTGACGCGTAAAAAACGTGACATGTCAGCAGTGACACATAATAGATGCGACACATACGGCAAAGCGACATATTTATGGATTTTTCCACTTTGTTATAAAAATATGGCCTAATGTGACTTATAGGGCAGAGCGACGTGTACGGCAGAAAATACGGTAAGTGTACTGTAGCTTTGGAAAGAGGACTCTGGGAAACAAACAAACTAGTTAAATGAATAAATAAAGAGATACATAAATCATTAATATACTGGAATATACTGGATTCCAAAAATATAACAGGTGTAACTGTTTTCTTGCTACTAACATTTACGCGTAGAAATGGCTCAGTTCAGATTGAATCTTTAGACTGTTTAAAGTTTTACATGATCCCATTCACAGAGTTCCCAACATTTGTATCCATCTTGGAAGGAGCAAACAAAAAATGCGACAAAATGGTTAAACCCAAGAGATAAAAACGAGTAAACAGTGATTTCATGGAGGCAGTGGAGCATGAGAAACATTGTGCTTCGTGTCATACTTCAGTTCCCCAGACAATGCTTTCCACACCTGGTTTGTTGTATTAGTGATGTATGCCAAAACACACAGCGAGTGAAGAAATGGAAAACATTCTGAATGCATGACAGAGCTTTATGGGTGGATTTATGTTATGTAAATATGAAGTGTAGCATAGAAGCATTGCACTTGTGAGTAATGAGACACAAACCGAAAAAGAGGTGACTGGAAGTGCAGACTCAAGTCTACCTCTAAAAACTGAAGTCAGACGCATGAGCTGAACTTCCTGCCTGTTCTTCACAGGATTTTGTAGCATCTTCCAAGTGTTGACTATAACATATGAAAATTTGATAGTTTCTTTTGAGTTATAGTTTTACAACAATTAACCCTAACCTTTGTTAAAGTTTTTTTTTTTTTTAATCTTTTGCAAAACTGTATTACATAGCTTTTAAATATCATAATGCAAAGCAACATGGTTAAACATTTAATACTTAGAATTGTGTGAAATAAACAACATTAAAAAGGATTGTGTTGCTCATTTGAACTAAGATGTTCAGTGCTTAGTCCTTGGTGAGAGCTGTAGCTACTTTTACATTATTCCACAATGTATTACATTCATGTATGTGCTATATAAATTTAGATAAGTTCTTAAAGCCTGCTAATTTAGAGAATTTCATTAACAAGCCATCATTCATTGGCTAAGTTATGTCATAAAAATGGGACAAGGACCATTTCCTTTCTAATGAAACATGTGAGAGCCTATTCAAACTAATACTGTTCATGCCATTTTGCAAAAGTCATTTAAAGTAGTCTCCATTTGTATTGATATTTAACAGTCTTTGCAAAATAAAGGATAAAGAATTGCTCTTACTCATTTCAAAATTTGTTTTTCTTTCTCTATTTTTATGAGTAAAACCTCCCAACAAACTCCACTATGTGAGCTGTAAAGAACTGACTTCCTTCTCTAACAAGTTGGAAAGGCTTATTCAAGTCTTCATTGTACCCTGCAAGAAGGGTAGCAATGTAAGAGAATGACATTTAAGATATTACATCCATCTATCCATCCATCCATCATCTTTACCTGCTTCTTCCTTTTTTGGTCGCAGGGGTCACTGGTGCCCATATCCAGCCATCAATGTGTGAGAGGTGGGGTACACCCTGAACAGGTCTCCAGTCCATCACAGGGACACATAGAAATGAACAACCATTCACTCTCTCACTCACACCTAGGGATTTATTCAATTTCAATTTAAACCCACACATCACGAACAGAACATGCAAACTCAACCCAAAGAGGTCCCCGGACAGGATTTGAGTCAGCGACCAGCTCGCTGAGAGGCAGCGTTTCTACCAACTGTGCCACCGCTCCCCATTTAAGATCATATTTTATTTACATGATTTATTTTAAGAAAAAAGGTAACATAAATCCCTTGTCACAATTTTACTGAACTAAAATTAAATTGGTAAGAACTTTTGAACGGTTCAGTCAATTGTAGTGAACTAAGCCTCAGGTCAAAACCTGACCCTGAGGACCTACATGGGACAGAAACTGTTATTTCATTGATTTGAGTCCAGAAATACAAATTAAGCTCATCCAGAGACTTTCTAAGTGTGTCCTGCACTAATCAATTGAAAGAACACTCTCTTTTTATTGTCATTACTATTTTTACAAATGTCTTGATAATCCAAAAGTGTGTTTAGTTCAAATCATTTTAAATGTTGAAGTGAACTACTCATTTTAAATCAACTGTGAAACAGTATTAATGATTTTTTTAATCCCCATTCAAAGTAGAAATCAAGTTAATGTCTGTTACAGAGTAATCATGCATTTTTTGATCCTCTGTCTGAAATGAGAAGTAGTGATGTCGGTCAAAAGTCGGAGACAGTCGCAAACAAGTTTATTGGAACGAACTGTCATGTTTTTAAAACCTCTCAGACAGATATAAGAAGCTAGCACCTGTGGTCTGTCATCTCGCCTAAACATTTCTCTGTCTGTTCCAAAAACATCTCACTGTTTTTCTGACTTGTAGTAACTTCTTACGTCACTAAAACCACACCCCTGTTGGTTCTTTCAACCAATCAGGATTTCCCAAAAAGGGACCGGAAGCGAACTCTTTAAAAAGTCAACACTTCCTAGTTCCAGTCAGTTCAAAGTTCTGAGACAGTTCAAAGTTCTGGGGAAGAACAGAAGTTCTGTGAGCAGAACCGAACGAAAGTTCTGAAGGGCTGGAGTTAGTTGGGAGTTCTTCCGAGTCTCGTGGGGATTATGGAATCTTCCACATCTGAGTGGAACTCTGACGGGCTCACAGCTCATGTGAGTCCACCCGGGAGGTGAGCGTGCTGTTGAACGAAGTACCGTCACTACTCCGGACGTTTCTCAGCTATCCTACGGAGATGCTGAAATGGTAGCGTTGAAAAGGGAACTCTACACCGAAGCTGAGGTATCTTCTGCAAGGTAAAGAGTCGATTTCCACTACCGAAGTGTACCGAGGGGAGCTGGTTCGGATGGAGGGTGTCGCTCTTCATCAACACATTTTCCCTCACACATCTTTTCTCTCCATTTAAACTCCTTCATTCCCCATCTTTAAAACTCTTCTATCTGCCAGTAAAAGATAAGCTAAGCCTGCAGACACTTATTTAAGACCTAAGGATATGTCTGTTGTTTTAAGTTGCAAGTGAGATATCATGGCCGTATGATTTTTCATTGCAAAGCTCATTAATTAAGCTGTGTTAATTGTAATCAATCTGCCAATTAATGTAAATGTGTGATGTGTTTTTAAATTGTTTAAAATAAACGACCCACTGTTGTTGGTGAGTCAGAAATTTAAACATGTCTCTGTCCACATTTACTCCACAAAGCACAATATGACTTAGTCCAGAAAAATGAAAGAATCCGTTTAAATGAAGGATAATATCAGATGCATATTATCTCATTACACAATGGTATTGATAGAATAATATTTTTAATTGCTTGTTTTAGTCCTAAAGAAAAGAAAAATTGCCTGAAGGCAAAAAACATGCAATTCTTCTGAAATTGATTCTTTAAATATATGTATTTTATAAACAGCATCTTACTATTAATTATTGTTGGCTGGAATAATTAAATTTGTAGTGTATAATCCCCCTCAAATCATGCCTTAACTTTAGGTGTACACAGTGTGTTTCTCTTTGTAGTCCTC